TGGAGAGGGTGCAGCCAGAGTGCTCTTTGGAGGCAAGAATGATGAGGCTTTGCCTCACATACTTTGGGCGTGTTGCTAGGAGGGTTTATTCCTTGGAGAAGGACATGATGCTAAAAAGGGTAGAGGGTTAGTGAAAGAGAGGAGGACCCTCAACCAGGTGGACTGACATAGTGACTGCTGCAATGTGTGTCAGGAATTGTGAGGATAGCACAAGATAGAGCAAGGTTCAGATCTTCTGTTCATAGGGTCGCTATGAATTACACTCGACTTGATCAACCCTAACAACAAGTAACTAATGATCTTGATCATTTCTTCCTGTGCTTGTTTGCTATTTGAATGTCTTCTTGGGTGAATGGTCTATTTTCTACTCATTTTATAATTCTTTTTTTCTTTAGTGTTGGAGTTTTCTACTTTCCCCCCAACCCCCAGATATGCCATTGGCAAATATTTTTTCCAGTATGTAGGTTTTATTTACACTTTTTCGGTGATATTTTTTAATGCACATAACAATTTTTAGGAAATTTCAATCATCTGGCATATCCTCTGCTGACGATGCATTTTCAATTACATTTGTTCATCTATTTATGCCATATATTAGGGCTCTTTAGTTTGCCTCAATTTTTTTTTATGAACTTCATAGTTTTAGGTTTTACCCCAAATATCTTGATCCATCTTGAGTTAGTTTTTGGTTTTGGTTGGTGTTTGTTTAAGGGTTTTTTTAAGTTAGTTCTGCATATGTGTGAGGTAATAATCTTGTTTCAATTTTCAATTTTCTGCAAATAGATATCCAATTTGACAGCGCCATTTGTTAATGTCTTTCCCCTATTCAACAGGTTTCTTTGTCAAAGATCAGTTGTCCTTAAGTGGCCTTGCAAAAACATTTTTAAAAAATAAAATAAAATTATTATATACACAGTCCTTACCTGATAGAACACACAGGAGTCAAATCAGTTACATCTGGAGAAAAAGACAGTGGAGAAGGTCAATATCATAAGTCAGAAGAAGGGGAGCCAACTGAAAAACTATCTGTTGCCATTTGCAAGTGAAAAGTCAAGCTGATGAAAATTAAAACCTCATACGATAGCCAACATAAACCTTGTGCATATCCCACTGAACTAAATGCAACTTACCTCTAGAATAGGTTTGATGTACTAAGCACTAATTACATGGGAGCAGTGGTGTCAGTTTGAGGACTGAGGTGCATCTGATTCAGGCCATGGTCATTTCAGTCACCTGCTATATATCTGAGAGTTGGACAACTAAGAAGGATGACACAAGAAGAGAACTGATGCCTTTGAATTGTAATGTTGGAGCAGAGTACTGAATGTACTAGCAACTACCGCATGAACAGTTATATCCTAGAGAAAGTGCAGCCAGAGTGCTCCTTGGAGGCAAAGATGATGAAGCTTCATTTCAAATACTTTGGGCATATTGCTAAGAGAGGCTATTACTTGAAGAGTGACATCATGCTTGGAAAGGTGGGGGGAAGGTGAAAACAAGTAATATCCTCAGCAAGACAGATTGACACAGTGATTGCAGTAATGTGCTCAAGTATGTGAGAGATTGTGAGCATGGCTAAGGATGAGGCAAGATTCATATCTGCTGTTCACAGGTTCGCTGAGTCATGCTCAACTCGATGGTATCTAACAGCAACAGTAATAAACAAGCACTAATAACAAAAAAACAGATAATTTGTGGGAGGCTATTGTATTTGAAGAAAGCTTATATTAATTTATGTAAATTAAATAATTAAATCAGCTATCAGTTCTCATCATGGAGGATAACTATAACTACCAATCCACTGAGAATCACAGTCCTTAAAAATTGGTACACAATCTTAATCATCACAAGTATACCACATTTTACTATATTTCCTTCTCATGGTTGTTCAAAAAGACTATGTTTTTTTT